ATGAGAACCAGAAATAAAAAGCTTTGTGAATTTAGTATTTTTTCATGTCATGACATTGTTTAGAGCATAAGAAAAAAATTGTAAAATAACATCTTTGAAAAATGATACTTTATTCATAAGTTATGCTATGTCCTCTGTAGAGGACACCAGGACTCAGTTTTTCTAAAAAAATAAAATGACAAGAATAGACATGAAAAGGCAAAAACAATGGGAATTTTTTTTTTAAAATCCCCAATCAATTTTTAGGTTTCAGGATTTTTTTATAAGTAACTTTGTTTAAGGATGGTTCTCAACTATGTTATAAAATATATAACAAAATGATTTGATATACCATTTTGCTTTATGCAATGTGTGTAAAAACTCCATAAACTGGTTTTCCCATTAAGCACAATGTTATCTATACACTGTATCTAATTTGCATATTAAAGTGCTGTTGGGACAGCATGTTGAAAAAAGAAGTGTAATAATGGGATTAGTAATTGGCCAGATTTTCATAATAATATCTAATATTTCATAAGAATATTGATATATAATTTGTTTTCCTAATCAATTCTTTTGTCTCCCAAAATGTATAATAAACATGCTTTTAGTCCTGGTGTCCTCTACAGTGGACATTTCGTCTTCTTATTATAGCTGGCACACCACACTGACACAAAAGCAAGATTTGAAATTTAATGGACTAGCGAAGATATGAATCAGGACAGCACTAAAATAGTTTTGAAAATGAGGAGCATATGTCTCCCATCTTATAACTTAGTTTTCTTTTAAGCATTTGTAAGCAAACTTTGAAATATTCTCAGAAAATCATGAAATATAGTAAAGGGGGTTTACATTTCTTCCATTTGCATGTATGAATGTGGTATTTACAGACCAAAATGACCACTATGTCAGAAAAAAAAGGAAATTCAATGTATTCTCAAAAACGGTATTTTCTAAAACTAAGAGATAAATATTAGCCTATTATTTTTCACTGAAAGCTGATAAATGATAAATCACAGGACAGTGTTGACAATTTTCTGCACTCCTGAATGTTTCAATGTGCATGCGATCTGTACGTTATGTGCGAGCTTGTGTGTGTGCATGCAGTGTAGCAGCACATTAGTTTAGAGCAGAGATTAGCTACCTGTACAATAAACTGTTTCAAATGTGAATTCACGCAGTCAGTTTTGATTGTCCACATGCTACAAACAAACATGCTTGAGATATAACCTCCATCGCCATCATTATAACCATGATCCACATATCTGTCAAACTAGCTAATGATGTTTAATGCTTGAATTCTTGATAAAATGCAGTTATATTATGGGCTGTTGGCATTAATTGTGCTTGTGATAGAGCGGTAGTGGAGCGCTCTCGGAGTGACTGAAAACTACGACGCTCCGACTTTCAAAAAATCCACTCCTCGCTCCAGTCAAAAAACACGCCGCTCACTCTGCCAGGAACGGAAGAGCAAAAAATGTCTTCTGTAAAAATGCCCCTGTGGATATAGTCTAAACAGGAATTTTTATCAAGTCTTTTTAAATTTGGGGCAACAATGTCACCAAATATCTAGCAATGAAAATGCTTAAAAACTCTGTAAATAAATGTCATTGCACTTATTTTCAAATAATCTATTTTAAAAGTGTATTTTACTATCATTTCATTTTTTGTCATCAATTTAATGGATCCTTGAATTAAAGTAATTGCTTAAAAAAAGTAATGACCCCATACATTTTAATGCTACTGTAAATATAATACCAGTCCTCATTATAAACACAAAATAATAATCAACTTCAATAGTCTGTGAAGACAATTAGACTACTTTTTATTTGATGGGGGGCGGTGAGGTACCTGAATAATGGGTAGGGGGCGCTGGCCCAAAAAAGGTTGAGAACCACTGCTCTAAAGAATACCATGGCATATGTCAGAAATTGTATTGCATGGTATTATTATCATGGTGTAGAAAAAAAATCAGTCGGTCGTCCGAAGATGGTCTTCGGGAGGAATTTGCCGCCTTTGTGGAGTGGACTCTGGCGAGAAACGGGTCGCCACTCACCATCGGCCCCGTGGTGGATCTCGCCGGATGCACTTCGGACCCAAAGCCCAGCCCACCATCTCCCCGCGGTACGGAGCATCAGCCAGAGCCCACCGATGATGGAGAGCCATTTCCCGCCGCGATCCTCAAAAATGCCCGCCCTCCCACCCACTCCAGCCTCCTCCTCCGCTGTCAGCTGGCAGCCCCTCTGCTCGCCCTCAGCCTACCATCATTGTGGTGCAAGCCCCGCGGGACTGCCATCCTCCATGGTCGGAGTCTCCCTCACCGCCGACCTCCAAAGCCGGGACTCCGCCTCGGTCCATAGACCCAGTGGCTCACCTCAGCTCCTAGCTCCCTCGCCTCCACCGTCACCCATCAATCCATCAGCTCCACCGGGCTCCCTCGTCCCTCCGGCTCCGCCTTGGTTGGGCGTCGACCCGCCATCGCCTCTGGACTCCTCTCTTCTGGCTGCGCCTTGTCGCACTGTCCCACCGGCTCCGTTGGGCTCCTTCCTCCCGCCAGCTCCACCTTGGTCCTCAGTAGTGCTGTGTTCAAAATATCGATACGACGATGTATCGTCACAGAGATTTGACGATACGCGTATCGAGACAGCTGGCCCTGTATCGATACTGTGGCACGTGTACAGCAGTGGACCACGCTTAATTTTACAATGTTTAAAATTTAGTAGAAAAGTGCGAGGTTTCTAAAAAAGAATGAATAGAGCATCTGTTAATAATCTGGCCGCAGAGGAACACAACGGGGTTGCCTGATATAAAGAGACTTACACTTGCGCAATACAGAAATATCTGCTAAACGTGCTACTTATCTTTGTCAACCTGGCAACCCTGTGCTCACGCGCTCCGGGTCGCCACTCACCATCGGCCCCGTGGTGGATCTCGCCGGATCCACTTCGGACCCAAAGCCCAGCCCACCATCTCCCCGCGGTACGGAGCATCAGCCAGAGCCCACCGATGATGGAGAGCCATTTCCCGCCGCGATCCGCGAGCCAGAGCAAAGCCAAGCGACTGAGCAGAGGATTGCCTCGGATGTTGAGCCTAACCCGTCAGACCAGGTGCGAGAGCCGGTGACAGTGCCCACCACGAGGGAGCAAGCCGTGGACGGTGTGAGTGCGAAGAGGAGCTCCGCCCCCTGCATCATGGCTGAGGG